AAGCACCACATCTACACGTCCCTTAAATACCTCCAGGGGTGGGGACTCAACCACTTCCCTGGGCAGCCTCTGCCAATGCTTGACAACCATTCTGGTGAAGAAATTTTTCCTAATATCTGATCAAAACCTCCCCTGGCACAACTTGAGGCCATTTCCTCTCATCCTATTGCTTGCTACTTGGGAGAAGAGACCATCACTCATCTCACTAGTCTCCTTTCAGACAGTTGCAGGGGGCAATAAGGTCTCCCCTCAGCCTCTTCTCCAGGCTGAACAACCCCAGTTCCCTCAGCCACTCCTCATAAGACTTGTGCTCCAGACCTCTCACCAGCTTCATTGCCCTTCTCTGGACACGCTCCAGTGCCTCAATATATTTGCTGTAGTGAGGGGCCCAAAACTGAACACAGGATTCAAGGTGCGGCCTCACCAGTGTAGAGTACAGAGGGACAGCCATTTCCCTAGTCCTGCTGGCCACACTATTTCTGATACAAGCCATGATGCTGTTGGCCGCCTTGGCCATCTGGGCACACTGCCGGCTCATATTCAGCTGGCAACACCCCCAGGTCCTTTTCTGCTGGGCAGCTTCCCAGCCACTCTTCCCCACGCCTGTAGCGTTGCATGGGGTTGTTATGACCAAAGTGCAGGACCTGTCACTTGGCCTTATTGAACCTCATACAGTTGGCCTCAGCCCATCGATCCAGCCTGTCCAGGTCCCTCTGCAGAGCCTTCCTACCCTCCAGCAGATCAATGGTCCTGCCCAACTGGGTGTTGTTTGCAAACTTACTGAGGGTGCACTTGAACCCCTCTTCCAGATTATTGATAAAGATGTTAAACAGAACTGGCCCCAACACTGAGACCTGGGGAACACCACTTGTGACCGACAGCCAACTGGGTTTAACTCGATTCACCACCATTCTTTGGGCCTGGCCATTCAGTTTTTTACCCAGCAAAGAGTGCACCCCTCTACAACCCTACATAGCTACTATGCATGACTTGTTTCCACAGCAATCATACAATGATGTTACAAGCCTCTGAAAATGAATGATGCAAGAGCACATAATTATCACAGGTAGATCAAATTTATTTACACTATAAGAGAAAAAAGGCTTATTCAGTTTGTTGATCCTCCACCAACTGATATTTATGACTGTTTAGAAGTATGCTTTAAGAGAGGTCTCATTAATTGTAGATCAACACTAAAATGCCACAACAAAACTATGAGATATTCTAAGTTCCCTCACAAACAAGACAGGACTATCACACAAAGTAAAAACTTAAAAGGTATTCCAGCCATCAACTTACTGATGAGAACTGCATATTCCCAGAATAAAGTTACCTAAATCAAGCCTCTGAATTTCACTGTCATATATCAATAGCACTGAGACCAATTAGAAATAAAAATACTTAGTAGTTTTCATTTGTTAATTGCAAAGTTAAATTTTATGATAGTCCATTCAATTCACATACAGCTTCTCCGATAGTCACCTGCGACTCTAAGACAGCAAAGTAAAAGCCTCCCCAATACACTAATCTATTAAGCCTTTATTTTTACTAGATGTCTCTTCTTTATGTTAGGTGGAATACAAATGCCTAAGTACTTTGCATCCATGTCACATAACATGCTGTTACTGTGTTCCCTGGACTATTCCAATTCCTCCCACCGTTTTCTTCCCAGCTTCTAAATAAGCAGTTCTCCTGTTCTCAGCAATTCATGAGTTTTCCTCCTTACCTCAGACCCAGGTCTTCCTTCACATAGTTTCGTCTAGTTCTCCATCTTCACAGTCATGGGTTCGACTTCAAATCTTCCAGGAGCTTCATCTTTCCAACATGCAGTACCATTTCTGAAGCTGTAGAGACAGACTGCTATAGATACTAACACACAGACTGTGGTGCTTCCCTCCTAACACAACTATCAGTGAGTATGTTATCTCAGTCCCACTCTCATGAGAGGGAACCACAAGCATTACACAGGGGCTGGAAGGAGATCTAATCAGGACTTGCCATAGTATATTCCTGACTCAGTATTTTATTTCCACAATTATAGAGTTAAATAAGCGTTAGACAATATTAAACAAAACTTTTAACTTTAATATTCAAATTCAACACTATTAAGAACAAATAGAGCACAAATGGGAAACATTGTTTAAACTAAAATTAATGAAGAGATAAGCCAGTAATTTGAACAGTTCTATTTTTTAGCAACATCTGTCAGCCTAGGTCCAACATCAGTACAGGTTCTGATGGCCACATTCTGTTCATTTTGAAACTTAAAAACTGAATAGTTAAGATTTGTCTGTTGGCATCTCAGACTGCAGTTTCAGTATAGTATACTATAAGCACGATCAAACTTATGTACATAAACAATGAAGAACAACCTGAACACTTACACTAAACAATTATTTACAAGTACTCCAACATTAAAAAAAAAATATACAATAGCCTCAAGAATGGACAACTGAAAAGAATACCAACATTTAGAGAACCTTATTAGAAAGAATTACAAAACATCAATAGCCAAGACATTAACAATTGCACTACACTAATACAGAGTCCAAGTATTAAATTGGTGCATTATTTCACAATGCACTAGCTTTGAGAGAAAAATGCTGCCTTCACTAAAATGCAGCTTAGATTTGTTTCACGTAATTGTTTTAACAAGAAGCCTATTAACACAATAATGATTGTTTTAATGCTACAGTTTACAGCGAGGACAACAAACTAATAATAGCAGCAGTTCCACATGGCACTTAATTCCACAGGTTTCTAAGCTGTGGTTTATGCAATGCCTACAAAGTGCTCCCAGTTGAATATACAAATAAAATTCACAATAAAAGTCTACCTGACATCAGGTACATTGAGTGTAGGTGGCCTTAAAGCCTGTCTTTCAAAATTTATTCCCCTCTGCTCCAAAAATTCAGTAACTACCAAAGCAAGGCCCCCTCCCTCCATCTTAAAGATCATTAGGGATATTACTTCTTATCACAATGCCGTAACACTACAAAGCAGCACACCACTATAGTGGTTAACCCTGGGACGATGTAACATCTAACAGTGTAACTGAAAGGCTTATGGGTTAACATCCAGGATCCTCTATGGACAAGATATTAACTGAGTCCATTAACTCAAATGGTTAATACAGCTCATCAGCCATATTGTACAAGTAAAAACTCAGAAGCAGTTCCTGTAAAACTAGTGACACTGATCAAAGACAGGACAAGAAACCAGGAATTGAATGCTTCCTTCAATCCCTTAGGCTTCAGTCCAGCAAAGATGCTATAGCCATCCTCAGTAGTTCTTTTAGACTTCATAGTTAGT